CTTACCGGCTCCTCCTCTATGCAACGTGAAGACGCAATCCAGCAAATGCAACCCAACGATGAAGTTCGATTCCCCCACGATGACTTCAATTCCCCCTTCCACGATGAAAGCAAACCGCGAAAAGATGCATGGTTCCTGATGAGATGAATGGTATAGCAACGATCAATACTCGAGCAATGATGATCAATACGCCAGCAAAATCAGCGACATCAAACAGAGCAGAATTCAATCGATGACGATACGACTATGAGCTAGAAATCGATCAATGATGATGGTTGATGACGAAATGACGATGATGATGATGATGTGGTCAAATGGTCAAACGTGCACTCCGAGATGATCAAAAGTTACGATGGTTTTTCTTCTTCCCGAGCCATGGTCAAAGATGAAAGCTCGAGGACGAGCTTTGCTAAGGAATGGACATGTCGAGACGCAGAGTAATTAGATGGTCCGACAGTCTCCACGCCAACTGGGCGGTGCCCAGAATCTCCAGATGAGCTGGCACTCCCCGGGTGCTCGGTGGTCCCCTCCCCAATTATGTCCCCCATTTTTATATATATGCTATAATGATAAAATCATCTAGTCAAGAACTCTTCTGTTAAGATGCAATACAACAGGGTAGAGGGATCAAGTCCCGAGAGTAATTAACTCGTTAGACTTGACACCTGCTATGTCCTAAGTATGTCGCAAATTTAAAGTTTTCATTTGGGATTTTCCAGAAAAAAATAGAATCAAGTGTAACTGATGCTTTCGACAACGTAATGTTTACTATTACTATTATTCAATATCAATTCTACACTTTGTAATCTAGAGTTATCTATGTGTGAATAGTTTAGCATAGTTTTTGCCGAAACATACAGGTGTTACTTTTTTCATTTGGCCATGAACATAAAGCAATTGATGACCAAGTTGAAGTTTCGCAAACAGGATGTCGCAGTATGTATATCGTAAACCTTTATAGCGTAAAGCTTCAACTCAATTTACAGTACAGTGCGGATTACCAATCGCTTTACCACTGCAGAATTACGGTAGGAACTCCCAGCACATAGCCCCTATGATGAATTAGCAATAGCTATCAATGATAACTCCATGGAGGTAGGTAAAAAAATTCTAAACAAAAAAGGATACCGACAAACAAACAGTGTATACATAATGTAAACATATTTATACACAATTTACTGAGAACTGATTTTTTAGTTTTCATAATCTATAGCTTTAATATTCGGTAAATGTGCTGAAAATATATAATACAAGAAAAAATTAAAGTTTCGCACAGAAATACAAAAATGCAGCGCCCAGTTGTGAATTGGACATTGATCCGAAATGAGTTTTCAAAATTTGTGAAATGGTCACCTTAAAGCCATAAGGAATACTGTCAAAGGCTCATGCTCAACGGAGTCGAACCAGTAACTGATAGTTTCAAAGCTGCTGAGTAGCTGTAATAGTCACTTCAGTTAGTGTGACGTATTCGTCAGGTTGCTTAGATAAGATCATAGTCCTTGTTCAGCTTTATGTACTTTACCTTGGCGAGAGTTGCGCATGAAGTATGCAAGCTCCCCAGCCTATGACTTGATATGAGATAAAAATCGAAAAGCACAGTTACCGACAAATGGCTTGTAGATGATTCCGAAGCAGAATGAAATCAGCCCTACTTATGCTCGAAATCACAGGGCCAACAATTGCAATGCATTCAGGCAAAAGTAAAAAGCATATAGTAATAAAAGTGGTAGCAACACATTTTTGAGCTCAGTCATCTACAATTGAAAGTAGGCGCTAATTAACTCACGGACAAGTGCGCTTATTTGAGCTTTTTCCACGGTGTTCAACCTAATAAAGCTTAAAAATTACTGTCACCTTTTAGCAGTTACTTTGAGGCATTTCGACAAAATCTTATTTTTCCAATTTTCAACTTTTCGGAGCCTTCTCGCCATGAAGATTCCACATCTGAGTTTTATGCATATGAAAATGGTGGAAAAGCTTTTCCCCAGCTTTCCAGGTCCGCATTTACTGTAGATACGCTGGAAATCTTCCGCGCCCCGCCTCCCTCGTTTCGGCCACGCCCACTTGCACGTACTCTCCACTGAATGCGGACTTGGAAAGCTTCGGAAAAAGCTCATTTTTCTCATTTTCATGCGCTGAAAAGCCCATAATGGATTCATCATGGCGAGAAGGCTCTGAAAATATGAAAGTTTGAAGAAGGAAATTCTGCCGAGACAAGCCTTTAAGAATGTGAGACATGCTACTCCCTGGATGACCCAGATGAACTAACTTACATTGAACATAAAAATCACTTTGAACGCAAACAGGGAATTTGCGCACGTCGCTTGTCCATAAGGCTTCGCTTCATCATCGAGTTCTCAAAAAATCGTCTTATGAGTCGTTAATTCAAAAAGTTAAATGCAAAGAGCTGCTAAAATGAACAAGCTCTTGAAAATTTTATCGAATGGGCGACTATTGCCCCAAATGTTAACGATAATCCGTGCGCTTTCTCGTAAAAATCTTGTAAGATAATTATTACGACAGTATCTCAGACGTTCGAAGGCGTTTCCATAAACATAAAGCCTAACGTAAGGACAAACGGCAATGTGTCAGCTGACAATCGATAATTATATTTTTCGTTGATTTTTCTCACATTATCTGTATCAGGAAACTTTCCATCAAAGAACCACGGTTCATCCATTTTTTAGGCTTATACATCTCTGTATAACTAGGGTTAGATCAAGAATGTACTGCTACACTGTATTGTCAAATGTCCACGATTAGAAGTATGAGGAGTTCAAGACAGATTGCAATATTTTAGCCACTACTCTGAAATAGTCGTTGAAACACAATCTTAAAAGCTTCTAAAAATCGATTGGGCATATTAGTACTGGCAGAAGCGAATGATTGAGCTAGAATTCTTAAGAACCTTCTGATCAAGATTATAGGCCAAGACTGGAATACCTTCACATTAAATCGTGTTTTTCTTTTACATCTCAGCTTCACAGATTTTCTGTTCAAAAATGAATTCTAGAATTTTACAATAGCTCAAAATGATCTTGAAATTGATAATTTCAGACTTTTCTGGTACAACCAACGACATGATCCATGGATATCGTCGCTACAGTGGAGTTAGCTCAACACGATCTTTATGTGACCTTTCGACAGAACTGGCAAACTTTTTTGAATTGTGCCAATAATGCTTCGACGTAACCTGTACCCGATGATTTTTTTTTGTTTTTTACAAGCTCTTAGTTTGATCAGCAAATTGAAGAAGTCGACTATAGGAGAAGAGTGCGTATGAGTCAGTCAATGCATTTTAATACTTTTGCTCAAATTTTGCTTTCTTATTTAGGATGCAAATCTCAAATTTCCGCTCTGAAAATGCTACTGCAAAGTTTGCGAGGGCCAGCCGAGCCACTGCTAACAAGGGAACGATACTTGGTATCCGTGACTTTTTGAGATGAGATGTATACCATTACACTTGTCTTGGAGCGCTGATTCCGAATCTGACTTCTGTTTTTGCTAATCATTTCTCGGAAAAAAGTTATGAAGGATTTTCGCATTAAAGGAGATGTGGTCGAAATGCCAAAACCGCCGCTGAAATGTGGTGTAGTGGCTAGTGCGATAGCTTCGCGAGTTGACGCAAGTTTAGGTTCAAGTCCTTTTGTGTTTTTAAGTTTTGCACTGCCTTAATCAAGTTTCTTTTCAAAAATTAGGCATCTTCGACCGTATTTCTTTTAGGCGACCATTGACGCAAAAATCCCTCATAACTTCTTCTAGCGAAATGATTAGCAGAAACGGAAGTCAGATAATCAGCGTCCCAAGGCGAATGTGACGGATACGTTTCATCTCAAAAGGTCACGGACACCAAGTATCGTTTCCTTGTAAGCACAAAGCAATGGCGATATGATTGTTCATGTGTTGAAACATTGGTTTAATAGGTAGCTGAGTAAATCATGAACCATGGTGAATTAGAGTAATGAAAATTCAAGGGCATATCTCTTACACGGCTCAGAGCTGTCAAATCAAACAACTGTCCTTATTTTCATGAACAGGGTTTGTTTTATACAACTGCTAAGTGCAGAACAGCGAATATTTTGCGCATTATAAATCAGCCCGAGGGTTATCGTTCATCGAACATCACAGCCACATCATTCCCAAATTTTTGTATGTTTCGATGCTTAACTCTTTTCAGAAACCGAAATGAGAATCACCTTCTGGCTAGCTTGCTTTTTTGTCCAGAAGGTTTGGAAGTCACCAGTGAATATATGATTGACTGACAAAGAATGAATACTTGGTGACCGTGGCCGTTTAGAATGCGGTATATATGTATGTAAGATGCACCTCAAAACGCCGATACTAAGTCTATGTTCGATATATGTGAAACAATCTTCTGAAGTAAGTTATGAACTTTATTTTGTAGAAAATTTGCGTACTTCTGGGTAAATAAATCACCAAATTTGTCCTAGGTTACCGTTTGAAGTATTGAAGGGAATTTTAAAAAGGAATATTGTTGCATTATAGCTATCCAAATTATATTCAGCATTTAAAAAGGAAAAAATATTTTATTGATAATTTTGACCCTTCGCAGTAGCACAATTTATGTATAAAAAAATAATGATAACTCCATTCAGGTTTCCTTTTTCATAGTATTCAATCAGCATTACGAGGCGCGTTTTTGATATATGCACAATTCATTAAGAATGACCACGGTCACCAAGTATCCTTCCGCTATAAGTGAAAGTGAAAATTGTTTCGCTTCTTAACTAGCTTTGCTGTGAGTTGTTTATACAATATACAAAAGTGCATTTCAGCTCACAATGTTGCTACACAAATTACTGCTTGTTCTTGTCTTTGTCCATGTGCATCTTGTCGCCGGCAGCCTAATCTCGTGGGGAAGAATCTTGAGCCTTCAAAAGAAAAAACCGAAGACGACGAAAGAAACGTTTGATATACTACTAGGGCCACAGCCACGGAAACAACCATTGACTTGGACCCATCGAGATCTAGTAAATTCGATGGTGCCATCGAGAAAACCGCCGCCGATACCACCACGAACGTTTGATAAGCATGATTTGAAAAACACCACGTTTACATCGACAGAAACTCCTCAAATACCACCGCCAGTGCCGCCGCGGAAACCAGCACAGAATCGAACTACGCTAGATTCAGAAGAAATGGTGTTAAGACCGATAATGCCAAAAGCACATTGGGTGCCAACTCTGCCACTACCGATGTTAGAATCGCAATCGACACGAAATGCAGATCCGCAATTGAAAGCAAAGGTACAAGGGCATTTTACTTATATGACTAAGAGCCTTAATGGCATTTTTTATAGTGCGATAAGCAATGCCCAGGACAACAACCGCAGTGCATGATAGTATGTTTGAACGGTGGCATACGAGTAGTTTTGCGAAGAACACCAGAAAATATTATATTTAATTGAAAAGTTCTTGAGTGTGCCTGAAATAAACTTGTTATTTCACTTGAGTTCCCTTGCAGATGTGTCTAATACCAGTCAACAATCTCTCTATCAATGTCAAACCAAAATGAAAACAGGATCATGTTCAACTCTCAAATTTTCTAGGAAATGAGTTTAGCTTTCTCATTTGGAAAAGTATGAAAGAAAACGATAAAGGGTAATTTGATTTTTTTACGTTCGATGACATCAAGACAACCCTTAGAGAAAAAGTGAGAAATTTAATAGAAAAATTTCGGACCTGCCTACGCTAATGTCAGATACGAATTATTTAAAGTCTTAAAACAAATGTTCGAGTCCTTGAACTCCACAGAAAAGTGAAAAAACATGAAAATTGGGCAGACGTAATCATGTGTCCATTTACGGATCAATTTTGTAGTGGGTAAAACCTGCTATGTCGCAAGGGTGTCGCAAATGCGGAGTTTTCGGTTCTGGGATTTTCCAGAAAATAGAATAAAGTGTGACTGATGTTTCCGGCAACGTGACGACTGCTATTACTTTTATTTGATGTCCTTCCACAATTTGTAATCTAGAGTTATCCATGTGTGAATAGATTAGCATAGTTTTTACTGAAACGTGCAGTTGTTACTTTTCTTATCTGGCCATGAAAACTCAAAGCGATTGATGACCACGTTGAAGTTTCGCAAACACATGTCACAAAAGTATGTATACACTTGATATCACTTTTCTTAGAAAGTTTTTTGTCTACTTTCACGTACCACATTGCAAACCTAGCTTCAATTTAATTGACAGTATGGTGCGGATTACCAATCGCTATTTATCACTGTAGAATTACGGTAGGAACTCCCAGCACATAGTCCTTACAATGAATTAGCAATAGCTGTCGATGATTAGCCCATGGAGGTAGGCGAGAGAATTCTTGAGAAAAAAGGATTTTGACAAACAAACAATGCATACATAATTCTGCAACGCACTTTATGACGGATAACAGATTTTAGTTTGTAAAATCTATAGCTTTAATGTCCTGCAAATGTGCTGAAAATCTACAAGAAAAGTAAAATTTTGCATAGAAATACAAAATTGCAACGCCCAGTTGTTAACTGGACATTGATCTAAAACATCCTTTCAAAATTTGCTAAATGGTCACTTTGAAGGAATAAGGGGTAGTGTCAAAGGCTAATGCTAAACGGAATCGAACTTTTTACTGATACTTTTAAATCTGCTGAGTAGTTGTAACAGTCACTTCAGTAAGTGTGACGTATTCGTCAGGCTGTTAAGATAAGACCATAGCACTACATCACTGCACAAATTGTCTATATTTTAAACGGGAATTAGGAAAACTCAAGGCACTTTTTTGATGACTAGTGAATTAGAACTTTAGGGGCTATAAGCCGAATTAAGCCATTAGCAGCCTAAACGAGGCACAATAATACAGAACTGTATATGAATTACTGCTTAAGAAATAAGTAAAAGTTAGGGGCAACTCGAGATTCGGTGTCCACAAAGTCAAACGAGTCACCGTAGGCAAGTTTGCCGAGGACAACCGTCAATGTCTAAGGAGTTATAGCCTCAATATTTGCCGAGACTTCACATAATGGGTTTGTTTGGCATACCAAAGACAAAAATCATGTTCAAATACCCCCCCCCCCCATGCCAAGTTTCATTCAAACCCGTAGATTTTTGAAAAATTTTCCCTACACCATATACCTACCGTGACCCTCACTGCGAGTGCGAATTTGGCAGAACATCAGCTATGAAGGTTGAATGGAACCCATGCGCCTTTTCGCTGATAAAATTTTGTAAAAAATATTAAGTATTATGTACATCAGACCTTCGAAGCCTCCATAAACAAATCTTGCTCCTAATGTACCGACGAGAGGCATTGATAGCTGGAAATCGATGTTCATGTTATTCGCTGATTTTTTTTACAGCATCTATATCAAGATTTAAAATTCGACGAAGAACCGTAATTGGCCAATTTTATCATCTCCGTATAAGTGAGGTCAAGCTAAGAAGGTACTGCTACGCTGTGTTGTCAAATGTCCACAATTAGATGTGAGTTCAAGACAGATGACAATCTTTTAGCGATTCCCTTAACAATACCCCCTGAAACGCAATCTTAAATCCTTAGAAATGATTCTGAAGATCGATTGGCTAAATTAGTATTGACAGAAGCGAAGAAATGAGCTAAAATTCTTGTGATCCTTCTAATCAATATTACAGGCCAAGAATACCAAGAATTATGGAATCCTTTACATCAAATTTTGTTTCTCTTTACATCTCAATTTCACAGTGTTTCTGCTCAAAAATGTGACTAGGATTTTACGATGGCTCAAAATGATAAGGGATGTCTAATACAATTATCGACATGATCCTTTCTTATCGTCACTACAATAGGATAAGCTCAGTACGATCGTTATGTGACCTTATGACAAAATCAGCAAACTTCTGTGAATTTTGCTAATGATGCTTCGAGGTAACTTGTGCCCAGCTATAATTTTTTTTGGTTTTTACGAGTTCTTAGTTTGAACAAAGGTAATTTATAGAAGTCAACTGCAGAGGAAGAGTGCATTTGAGTCAGCCAACGCATTCTGATATTTCTGTTCGTATTTTGCTTTCTTATTCAGAATGCAAATCTCAAATTTCCGCTCTGAAAATGCTACTGGAAAGTGCTTGCTTGCGGGGGCTAGCCGATACCACCGCTAAGCGCAAAGCAATGACAATATGATTGCTCAGGATTGTTGAAACATTGGGTTTATAGATAGCTAAGTAAATAATTAACCATGATGATTTAGAGTAATAAAAATTTAGGGCATATCTCTTCCACAGGTCAGGGCTGAACAAATCGAAAAATGCCCCCGTTTTCATGAACATGACTTGTTTTATACAACTTGTTCTGCAAAGTTTACTCTAAGTGCAGGGCAGTGAAGCTGCGCAATATAAATCAACCCGGAAGTTATCGTTCATCGAATACCATAGTCAAGTTTCATTCACAAACTCTTAAAAGATATGCTTTGGTGCTCAATCTTTTCAACAACTGAAATGAGAATCACTTTCTGGGTAGCTTGCTTTTTTGTCTAGAAGCTATGGAAGTCATCAATAATCATGACTATCTGAATAAAAGTGAGAAATTGTTTCGCTCCTTTTTTAGCTTTCCCGGAAGTTGTTTACACAATTCACAAAGGTGCATATCAGTTTAAAATGTTACTATGTTGGAGCGCCTTGATCGTGGAGATCGCGACTTTGGCGGGAAAAGGGCCCGCTTTGACCCTCTCAGCAGGGTATAAATACCGGTGGATAGGGGGGAGCAGGCAGAGCCTGAAGAGAGCGCTCCAGGGAGTTTAAAAGAGCCGTGGAAAAGAGGCGGACCTCCCCCCTTAGATAGAAAGAAGCTGGAATAACCTGCTGAGCAGGTCAAACCGGGTCAGGAGGACCCATATTCGTCTTTGAGTGCGTAAGTTGTTCAAGTTGTTCGAGTTATTGTTGTTCATTGTTGCCATAGAGATAGATATCTTTATTCTAACCGTGCTTATTGATCGATCCGGTTCAAACCGTCAATACCACTAGACAACCCCCGTTACAACTACACAAATTGCTGCTTGTTCTTGTCCTTGTCCATGTGCATCTTGTCGCTGGCAGAGCACTGTTGTGGAGAAGGATGTTCCGCTTCAAAGGAAAGGAAAAACCGGAAGCGATTAAAGAAGCGCATGTAGCAGATCTACAAACTCTATCTACAAAACCGAAAACACCTCCGCCAAAACCACCACGGAATCCAAATCGGGTAGCTCTACAAAATTCGATACTACCGGGAGAAAATGCAGATCCGCAATTGAAAAAAGAGATACGACCATCGGCGCCAGTGCCAGTGGAACCAGAATCCATGACTCCGCTATCTCTACAAACGGTGGTATCATCGCAACCGACACAAAATGCACATCCGAAATCGAATGAAGAGGTACAAGGGCATTTTACTTCTTTAATTAACCTTGATGACATTGTGTATAGTGCGAGAATAAATGCCACGCACAACCGCCATGCTTGGCAGTGTGTAGGAGCGCTGGCATCAATTTATCAATATTGCGAAATAGGAAACCACTTAATTAACTGGAAACTTCTTGAGTGTGCCTGGAATAAATTTGTTTCTCCAGTCAATTTCTCCCGCAAATGTGCCTAATACCACTAAAATCTTTCTATCAATATCAAACCAAAAAAGGGAGTTCAATCCTCAAAATTTCCAGAAATGAATATAGTCTCTTATTTGGCTTTGCTCAAAAATGTGAAAAGAACGATAAACTGTAATTTAATTTTCTTTTACGTTCGATGACATCAAAACAATCCACAAACGAAAAAGTGAGAAACTTAGTACGGAATTTTCTGAATGCCTACGCTGATGTCAGATACGATTTGTTTAAAGTTGTAAAACAAGTATCCCAGTCCTTGAACTTCACAGAAAAGTGGAAAAAAACATGAAAATTGGGAAGACGTGGTCATGTGTCCATTTACGGATCAATCGTGTGGTGGGTAAACCCTGCACATGACCTAAGGGTGTAGCAAGCTTGGAATTTTCATTTTTTAGAGAAAAAATGGAATAAAATATTACTAATATCTCCGACAATGTGATAATCGATATTACTATTATTTGATATCACTTCCACACTTTGTAATCTAGAGTTATCCATGTGTGAGTAGTTTAGCATAGTTTTTGATAGAACATGCAGGTGTTACTTTTCTTATCTAGCCATGGAAACTCAAAGCGATTGATGACCAAGTTGAAGTTTCACAGACAGGTGTCGCTAAAGTATACACTTGATATCTCTATCTTAGAGAATTTTAGCCTACTTTCAGTTACCGTATTGTAAAACTAGCTTCAACTTAATTTAAAGTATGGTGCGGATTACCAATCGCTATTTATCACTGTAGAATTACGATACGAAATCCCAGCACATAGCCCTTACAATGAATTAGCAATAGCTGTCGATGATTAGCCCATGGAGGTAGGCAAAAGA